TGTGTGTGTGTGGGTGGGTGGGTGTGTAAGTGTTAGTCGTGTGGGGATGCCCCCTTACGGGGGCGTACGTGTCTTTTGGTGTATTAGTCTGTCTGGTATATTGTTTGTCGGGGGTCGCAATTTTAAAGAAATGTATTCTAAAATAATGCAAATAACTGATAAATAAAGTAAAAACTTACCTGGGCATAACCCCGGCACAGGTACCTGTAACAAAGATGCCGACGGCCTCTATGCTTAAGCCGGGGATTAGGTCGGTGGTTAAGAGGAAAGAAAGGGATTCTTTCCAGGTAGCCTTAATAAAGGCAGGTAGATCTAGCTCGTTGCAATGCACTTCACTTCACAATAACACGTCCGCTCAGTTCGGCCGCTCACTCGAGAATGATGAAATGCACAGATCAATATGTAACAGCATTGTGGCGACATCTATATCAAATATCATAAACCGTCTTACATCTGCACTTAATGCCTGTACAATCTTTGTTCTATATTATTGGTTTTATAAGCTTTGCTGTCAGATATATCGAAGTGAGAACTGACTCCTGCCTAGAAAATGTGTCGTTTGTATCGTTAGGTTCCAGAGGGCATTGCGATCGACTTCTTCAGATGTGACAAATTAAGCATTTATCAGTGGTATTTATTATACACATTACTTTTATTACCGTACTATAATAGTTTAAGAAACAAATTGTCCCTTTGTGAGGCATGTTTTCTTTGATCTGAAGACGTTGACCATACTGCCTCCTGGCGGGGGATGGTCTAACTTCTTCAACTGTGGACGATATCAAAAACGACAGAAATTTGTCTTGCATATCTATGTTCTATATGGTCAAGGGTAGAAAAAACAAAGAGATAAATGATAGATTTCTTTAATTTTCTTTTCATTTGTTGTGACAGTAATGTCGGTTTCGGTTATCGTCATTTGGTATATGCTGGATTGCTATCCCAATACAAAGTAGAAAACATGCACGTAGAGTGAAAATTGTGATTGACAGGAAGTGCCTGTGTCAATATTATTCATTTTGTACAACTATTTATGTTATACATACGTTATAAATATATTTTATTATGGTAGCAAAAGGAGATAAAAGTCGTTCTGCATCCCCCCGTTTGAACTTTCGACTGGAACTAGGTTAGTAGGTTCCTTAAAAAGACATGGAGTGTCAACTAAACAATGTTGTTGCAGATAACAGAGCTTTGAAAGCGAAAAACAGTACCTTGACTCAAGCTATTACGAAGCTTCAAAAGGACAATGCCGAGTTGGTCAAACAGTTAACCCTCCTTCAAAAGGAGAGCTTTGAAACCAATTCGAAATATAATGTAAGTTTAGTTGTAGAAAGCGATTCATATGTTTATATCATGTGTTTTAGAATTTAAAAAATGTTATCTCCATCATTGATTCTACGACGAAAACGTGCCTTCCCAAAATTAATGAAGTTGTAGAGACTTTTACAGGAATAATACAGCTGTGTTCTGTTGCCGCTAATATAAGTAATTTCACTGCGATTACTAGTACTGTGAATAGAGGTAAGCATTTACCGTTTGATAGTACCTGTGCCTTATTATTTTAACTTATACAGATGCGAGAACTCAAGCCGTCAAGCCACAGATTGTAAACGGTCATATCTTGCACAATCCTACTATAACATTATCTAGGTTATCAAACAACAACCACTCGGAAACACCTCCAGGATCCAGCCGATCTTCTAACAACATGGCCGGACCAAGTACCAGTAATAGTTCTTTAGGAAGCGACGAAAATATAAATAGATTCTCACATAGGAACCAGGACCCTGGTAGCGATAGTGATAGCGATGAAGACGTTCCGCATGGTAACAAGGTAGGTATGGTAAGAATGTTGTATGTTTTTTAAGGAATGTAACTTTGTAGGATCAGAATTCTTCGTTTGTATGCAACGCAACAAGGCTTTCGTGTAGGAAAACGTCTGACATAGACATGCTGGCGCATCAAGAAGGTATGATTTTGTCGTTTCGGTGTTTTTTGTCCTCGTAATTGGACGGCGTTTTACAGATTTCAGTAACAGTGACGAGGAAAATGAAGAACCCGTCGAGGAGGAAGAGGAGAGCGATGGATGCGAAAGGTAGGACATGTTTTTCATAAATTTCTTATTTATTTATTCCCTACACGCTTAAACTCGTTTAAATTTGTGGTAAACTGTATAAAATGTGCTCATGAAAAAAAAAAAGAAACATCACACTGACAAATAAAAAAATGTGTTTGGACTGAATTATGTTTTGATCCTAACATCAAGACAATTCTCTAGAAAGCGTTTTTTTATATTTCAAACTGACTAATAGTCGTTAATTGGACAAACATTTGAATTATTGTCACCCTGTCAGGCAAAAGCCGCTCGGGAATTTGCTCTTTTTGCATTAAATACAGCTTATTTTTACGGTAATATATTATAAAAAAAAGAGGAACCACCACTGTGGATTAACTATAGACTTTAAGCGGCCACAGGCTGACGACCATACACGAAATGGAAGAAGAGGAGGAACAACAGATGCTCAACTCTGTGTCGCCGAGATCCAGGCAACGAAGGTTCGTCCAAGGCAGACTTCAAGAGGTACATCCGTTTGTCGTATAAAAAAACATTTCGACAGCATTCACAATATTCTAGGTGAGGATCTATCTGAACCAGCTGCCCAACACGTACATCGAGCAGTTCCGAGGTTCGGGCAACATCAGCATTTCCGTTTCACCGCCCGAACGCCGGTCATCCTTCAAACACAGGCCGTCCTCGCTCGTGAACGAGGTGGATGAGTCGGTCAGGGATAACGGACGACTGTATCTGGATGAAGTGAACTGTTCGAGGATGTCGCAGGGCGAGACGAGTTTTAACGACAGCTCGAGGCAGAATCAGGGCAAGGCCAAGCTGAACGTGACGTTGAACAACTCTTTGGGAATGAAGTCCCCCGATTACTACAACAGAAATACGAATTTGTGTAGTAGTTTGTCGGAGCAGGTGATGTTTGTTATTTTATATGCGAAATTTTGCTTTACGGCTGTAAATTTTTAGTTCTCTGGTAATATATCGACGATTCATGGTCTGGAAACGCCGTCGACGTCGGCGGTTATTCATAGCGATACCAACTCTATGCAGACGCAGACTTTACAAGAGTAAGGCACTTTTCCTTTACGATTTTCAGTTTGTGAAATTTTTTTTAGTTGAAAGCTTGCACAATTTTTTAGCTTCCACAGAAATGAACCGTTTATCTCTTTTATTGCAGATTGGACACGCTCCACATTCAACTGCAGCATAAAACGTAACTAATCTCGTTTTCATATTAATTACATTCTTCGAACTCGTTTTTACATTATTTTCGATACTTTTCTCGGGTTTTTCATAAATCTCTGAATTAGATGAATAAAAATTAGTTAAAGCATCATGGGACTGATTTTTGAGAAAAATCGGGCTGGAAATTCCATTTCTTGATATAATTATTCATGTAAGAGATCCAGAGCGTTTTCCCGGTTTGAATGGGTTTGTGACGGCGAAATTTTATTTTATATGCAAACCTTCTTTATTTTTATAGAGATTTTTGATTCTCATGTATTTTTTTAATAGAACTATCCGTCACGAAAACGTGTTGTCATATCACATCAGGCGAATTGATGTGGTTCGCACAGATTCACGAACTAAACACGGTGCTTCAGAAAATTTGGAATGTATACTATTTATTAAAAACTTGACATGATTTTAAAAATTGTTTCAAAAACATCGATTCATGAATATTTTTATTTATTTTTATATACTTTTAAAAAACTACAGAAATATTTATTATAAAATGCCTAGCGACACCAATATTAGTTAATTTGTAATAAAGAAAAATACAGGGTGTTAATGAACTTATGTCAAAAATTTAAAGGGGGTGAAAGAGGAGCAAAAATTGAGTTAATGATGTTGCAATCTTATATCGGAAGCTTAAGCTAATTAAAAATGTATTGAATCCTGTTTTGGAACTACTGAAATACATGTATTTTATCGCGGCGAGTGCTTACAAAAAATTCTGTAACACTTTTTATGAGTTTCTTATGGAGCCGGATTGTATTCGAAAGTCAGTTTGTAATATATTGTTGTAGTGATTGCTGTGCTGTTTTTCGAGAGTAACACCCTGTATACATTTTTTTTTAAAATCTTAAAATTTGTTTAATTTTCTACATTCATCCACACTGAAAAAAAAAACAACATAAAGTCATACAAAAGCAATTTGTATTCATGAAATTATTTCACTTTCTGCCACTGTCAGTTTCAAATAATTAGTTTAAAAGAGTTATGACAGGCAACACTGGTAAATGTGCACATACAACCGAGTTCGAGAGATGCCCAGTAACGGCGTAGACAAAAGTTCATTCGAGGGCTTAATTGTTTTAAAAATTAATTTGAGGTGAGTATTCTACGGCAAATGTACCCTAAAAAAAGTGACCCCACTTAAGGTAGAGGGGAGAAAAGCGTACTTTAGGGCCATGTGTCATCCTCCTTATACAAAAACCAAGCCATACCAGATCATTTTTGGATGGTAAAAATTGAAGAAACCATATTAGCGATTTTTTTTTAGAAAAAATTGGAGTATGCCACTGGATTAAGCGCCCCTTAAAATGGGCCTATACCAAATTTCATGAAAAAATATTACATAATAATACTGTGGCAAAATTAAAAATCACATTATTATGAATTTTTTTCATCTGACGAAGCAAACCATGGAATAAATCGTCAAAAATAAATGACAATAACTGTTTTTATTCATAACAATATTCAACAAAATTATTGAAATTATTGAAGAAAAGAAGAAATATTAATTAAATTCTTGTTACCTCCACCAATGCGCCGTTTATTTCAAGGCACTTATACCTTGTTCCTATGTTCATGATTACTTTTCTCAGTCATTTTAGGGTAACATTTGCACATGCTTCAGTTATTCTAGCACGTAATTCTTCTACTGTGGTCTTGACTTACACACTTTTTGCTTAAGGATGCCCCAAAGGAAAAAGTCGAGTGGCATCAAGTCAGGTGATTTTGGCGGCCATTCAATAAGAAGACGTTTTATTTCATGGCTTGCTTCGTCAGACAAAAAAATTCATAATGTGATTTTTAATTTTGCCACAGAATTATTAATATGCATTAAGTTTTTTATGAAATTTTGTACAGGCCCATTTTAAGGGGCGATTAATTCATTGGCATAGTTAGGTTTTTTCTAAAACAATCGCTAATATGGTTTCTTCCATTTTGACCCTCCAAAAATGATCTGGTAGTCCTTGGTTTTTGTATAAAAAGGATGACACTTGGTTCTTAAGTACGCTTTTTGCCCCTTTACAATAAAAAAAAAGTTGGTTAAAATCGTCCTGTAAATAAAAATTTTATGAAGGTGTTCCGGTTTCAAATGGGTATACCTAAAAACTGAAAGAAAAAGAGAAATAAACCCTCTATAAAAAAACTACTCTACTATAAATAAAATATAAAATTTTCAACTGTAATAAATAAAAACTTTCGATGTTTTCAAAATTTTTTACTAAGAAATATGACCAGCAAATTTAGTGTGTAACAAAACTTCGTACCTTGTAGATAGGGAAAATAATCACAAAAATATTATTCGGCTTTACAAAAAACATAAAAAAATGCAGCGCACAGACGTTAATTTTTCTCAAAAATCGGACCTGTCACATCTTTACTACTTTTTGTACGTCTCTCCGGAAAATAGGAAAAACTCCTTGAAAGTGTCGAAATTGGTCCACTCTGTACAATATTTCTGCAGGTCTACGCCCATAACGCCCAGAATGAGCGACAGCATCATGGCTAACAGCTCTAGGGCGTACGACAGCCCCAATCGATCGAAGAGCGACAGCCTGTTCTTCAGATCGAACATTACGAAAAGGAAGGTTGCGAAGTTAGTAAACTTTCAAGATTTTATATGAAATCTCCTTAGTTCTTGGAGATTTTCAAGCGTTGCAACTTTTTCTTTACAGTAAAGAGAAGCGCAAAGTGGCTCAGGTCCTCCTGAACCGCCTCAGTCTGGAGAAGAGGCTCTCAAACAGTCCCGCGAAGGTGATCGAGGGTATGGTTGATGTACCGTTGATTCGGAAGTCCTCTGAAATGAGGAAGTCTCTCAAAAATGACGCCGATTCCAATGGTAAAAATGTTAGCGGTACGCATTCGGAAGAGGAGAACGTCAAAAAGCAAACCACTACCAAGGGGAAGGGCAAGCGGAAGAAGAGGGATTCCCCTATTCCGAAAGCTGGGTGAGTCTCGAAACAAAATAGAAATGTTCGTTTTTTTTTTTAATTTTTACTCGCAGCTTAATTAAAAAGTTCAAAAATGCTTCATTAAATTGAATCTCATTTTTTTTTACTCGAATTTTATCTTTCAGCGACCAAGCCAAGCCAAAGACGAAAAGTTCTCCTCCAAAGTAAGTCTGACCTGTGATTTTTTTTCCTTGATGTTTACCGTTTATATTCCTTAGGGCTTCTACTAGGCCGAAAAGGGCGGCTCGGCCTAAAACCTTGAAGGAACCCAATTTAACCAAGTAGGTGTTTTATTTTTCGGTTAACGTTTCCGCCCTAGTGAATAAATCAATTTTGCCGCTAAATTTCGGTAGACCACTATAATTTATTTGACTCGGTGCTGTGTTTAAAAAAGGATGTTTTTTGAACTAACTTCTTTATTTTTCTGGTCGTTTTAATTTTGCTATGAATATACAGGGTGTTGGAAGTTTTACTTCCTCAATTTTAACAGACCATAAAATACATTAAAATAAACAAAGAACCTGCTAAATTAAAATCCATTCAAAATTTGTTTAAATAATTGCAAAAAAATTTAAAATTAATTAAATGTTTTATGATGTTTTACTAAAGAACTAGCTCTAGTATCGTTTAGATGGCGCTAGTGCTGCTACATACACCTTATTGCTGCCGTAAGTAGCACAAATAACAAATTACTCTTAAAGTTTTACTGCTTAGCCAAAACTTGGAACGTGATGCTTGTTTGTGTGTTTTTTTTTAATTAAATACCAGTGCATTACCACCAAAAGTTGAGAAATAAAACGGATTTCTAACATGAGTCTACCAATTTCAATTTCGGAAACAAAAATTTTAAACCAGACTAAATTTTCCAAAGGTTTTTTATCCAATATTTTTTTTAATCCAAATCCGATCCCAGAATTCCTGTGTGGGTTAAGTTTCAGGGATATCCTAACCTAAAACTGTAAAAAACACGTTTGAGGTTATGTTGCATCACAAGTTAATTTGAACCTTGAAAGTACTACTCGTTCCCTTCAAAGTCCATCGAATTCCCGAAAGATCTATAGAAGAGAACTAGAGCCTTGTTGCTATTCGGAACGTCTTCATCGCTATCGCTATCGCTACCAGAGTCCTGGTTCCTTTGTGAGAATCTATTTATATTTTCGTCGCTTCCTGAAGAACTATTACTGGTACTCGGTCCGGTCGTGTCATTAGAAGATCGGCTGGATCCTGGAGGTGTTTCCGAGGGGTTGTCGTTTGATAACCTAGATAATGTTATAGTAGGATTGTGCAAGATATGACCGTTTACAATCTGCGGCTTGACGGCTCGAGTTCTCGCATATGTAGTAGATAAAACAATAAGACACAGGTACCATCAAACGGTAAATGCTTACCTTTATTCACAGTACTAGTAATCGCAGTAAAATTGCTCATATTAGCGGCTCAGAACACAGCTGTATTATTCCTGTAAAAGTCACTACAACTTTGTTAATTTTGGGAAGGCACGTTTTCGTCGTAAAATCGATGATAGAGATAACATTTTTTAAATTCTAAAACAGATATGATATAAACTAATACGAATCGTTTTCTACTAATAAAACTTACATTATATTTCGAATTGGTTTCAAAGCTCTCCCTTTGAAGGAGGGTTAACTGTTTGACCAACTCGGCATTGTCCTTTTGGAGCTTCGTAACAGCTTGAGTCAAGGTACTGTTTTTCGCTTTCAAAGCTCTGTTATCATCAACAACATTGGTTTAGTTGACGGTCCACGTCTTTTTAACGAACCTACTAACCTAGATCCAGTCGAAAGTTCAAACGGGGGGATTAGGCTATTGACCATGTACTTTAGATAGGAACTACAACATAAATTTTAATGTTTGATATGTTCAATCGACCCTAAAAAATGATATAACCGCGGAGTGCTACCTTTTGAAGAGGTGTGTTTTTGAGAATGAAGTAAAAAGGTGGTATTTTCAGTTTTTTGAGTTTTACTCGAAAACTATGAATTTTTTCTAAATAATTGTCATCAGAAAAGTTGTAGCAAATTGAATTTCCAATCGAAATGAGACCTTTTGAAGTCAAAAAAAAATTTTTATTACAACAAAAATATGTCCAAAAAACGAGTAAAAAAACCTGAAAAAATGCGTTTTATTTTTCTTTTTGGTTTTTGGCCCACAACTTTTTTCTGAGAGGAGTTAGGTATTGCTTGACAGAAAAAAAAGTTAATGTGTTTTCTTTTAAAATAAGCCCTTATATACTAATAGAATCCGAGATACATTGGATCCAAGTTGGCTACTTTTTGGATTTTTGGCCAATTTTTGCCCTTTTTTGACGATTTTCGTCTTATAACTTTTTTCTGAGTTAACTTAGGTATATGTAATGCCATATTCGAATGAAAGCTGGTTTCAAGACCTTTAAAATGGTGCCTGCTAGAAGTTTGTACAATTAAAATTAACCGAGGTATGTCAATTTAACCAACGATACTTTTTTCTTTTTATAAAATTTTTATTATTTTGCCTAATAAATTTATTTTTGTGAATGTGAAAGTTATAAGTTTCTAGGTGATTGGATATTATTATTTATTTATTTAAACAACAGTTAATCATATATATCTTATAAATTTTCAGTTTCATTTAGTATATTTTTCAATATTAATATCAGTTTCGTCGTCATCATTTTCATCAATGTCCTCTTCAGAAAAATCAGGCTCGTAAGCATTCTCACAATTTATCAATACATTTACAGGCTATTTTTTCAAGTAAATTTTCAGGTGCAGGAGATTTATTATTAAAAATGGGAACTAGCCCATTTATGGAATTTTTCCAACCCCAATCAAGAGGATTTAAAGTACAACCATTCCACTGTTGCATCTGAAAATATACTCTGAACTCATGATGTTTGAGAGCATCAGTTGTTGAAGGCAATCGAGATAAAGTAAATTTTGCACTTGATGAATACTTTTGAAATAATCTATATCGATAAGTTTTTAGGCTGTCAATTTTTTAACTATACATTATAGTTACAATGCATTCGGATGCAGCAGTGCTATCCTCAACACTAGCATTTTCAAGTAAAAATACATCGAGGTAATTTTTTAATTTTGAAAAATTCTTATTTACACAATTGAAACATTTTTTTGTAATTATAATTTTTTAATTAAAAGTACAAAAATAATTAAAAGAATTCAAAATTTTACAAGATAAATATGATTAATTGTTGTTTAAATAAATAAATAATAATATTCAATCACCTAGAAACTTATTTTAACTTTCACATTCACAAAAATAAATTTATTAGACAAAATAATACCGAAAGTAATAAAAATTTTATAAAAAGAAAAAAGTTGGTTAAATTGACATATCTCGGATGATTTTAATTGTACAAACTTCTAGCAGGCACCATTTTAAAGGTCTTGAACCAGCTTTCATTTGAATATGGCATTTCATATACCTAAATTAACTCAGAAATAAGTTATAAGACGAAAATCGTTAAAAAAGGGCAAAAATTGTCAAAAAATCCAAAAGTAGCCAACTTTGATCCAATATATCTCGGTTTCTATTAGTCGTAGGTACTTCTATAAAGGCTTATTTTAAAGGAAAAAACATTAACTTTTTTTTCTGTGAAGCAATGCCTATACCTAACTCCTCTCAGAAAAAAGTTGTGGGCCAAAAACCAAAAAGGAAAAGAAAACGTATTTTTTCGTTTTTTTTTACTCGTTTTTTGGGCATATTTTAGTTAAAAATAATTTTTTTGACCTTAAAAGGTCTCATTTCGATTGGAAATTCAATTTGCTACAACTTTTCTGATGACAATTATTTAGAAAAAATTCATAGTTTTCGAGTAAAACTCAAAAAACTGAAAATACCACCTTTTTACTTCATTCTCAAAAACACACCCCTTTAAAAGGTAGCACTCCGCGGTTTTATCATTTTTTAGGGTCAATCGAACATATCAAACAATAAAATTTCTGTTACGTTGTAGTTCCTTTGTATCCTCTTTTTTTTGACATAGTCAATAGCTTAGATTCAGAATGACTTATCTCCTTTTGCTACCATAAACTAGAGATAACATTTAATAATCGACTAGGATTTGCAACATTGTTTTTCGTTTTTACAGGAAACTGAGAAGAAGTAAATGATCCAAAGATGTTAAGGACTGCTTCGGAGGCTTTTACGAAATAAGTTTAGTTACTTAAGTTGTAAATCGAAATGGAATGTGAATTCCACTTTGTTACGGAGCTGCATTTTTAGAGTATTTATCAAGCATAGTTTAAAATATTTGGTTTCTTTTCACACATTGCAGCTTGAATTTTTGACTAGGAAGCTGTCGCAGGAGTTAAGATATGTTTTAAAAACAGTTATTTGCTTGGGTTTTATTGCGATTCGGTATTTTCCATAAGGTTGTAGGCATATATTTTGTACCGTTTGAACTCAACTGTAAATTTAATATGGAATCTGTTTGACAAATAAATAAGTTTTTAAAAATTGGAACTTGTGTATTATTTAATTAAACTTGAGTTGAAAACAAAAACTAAAATTGTCGATATGAATGGAACACATTCGAAAGTTACGTAAACGTAAGTATTCTTTAATTCTTATTTTGGAAAATTTAAATAGAAATGTAAGTTTTTATAGTTTTTTAAACACTATAAAGATGCACAGGTATTTAAAAATAGGTAAAAGCGTAAAACCAAGAGGTTTTGTAAGTTACCGTCAGCACCTAAATGCAACTGGCAGCGCCATCTACTGTTCTGGAGTAGAACTATTTATTTAAGCTCAGGAAACTCTTAATAGATGGCGTTCTGTTTGTAATGTATTTATGGAATAAATTTAAAATTACTAATAACGAATTTACTTAGTAGTTTCATTAACCTTAGACCTCAACAAATCTCAATTAAATTTGATAAGCTACTTTATCAGATAAGTCAAAATAAGGGCTGACATTTGCCCACAAATTTTGACGTCTAGGGGGACATTGCGGTCGCTGACCACAGATTGAGAATTAGGACAGCAAATGAGCCACAAACTTTTTACATCAAATATTGATTGTGCAAATTGACACTTTTTAAATAAAAATATAAACGGTTATATTTATATATTTGTCTATATGACATATATTATGCATTACTTTCTTAAATTTATGATAAATACTTACATAGTTGTATTAGACTAACCTGACAAATGAATGGCTACAAAATTCGCTATCTTCTGTTTCCAATTAATTGATGCGTTATCTGTATTTACGAGAGTTAAATCAGGGTGTATTATGCAGTAATTGTGTATTTAAATAGTTATTCTATTTAAAAACTGTCAATCAGGGTCAAATTTACTACTACTGTTTAGATGTCAGAAGGTATCAAACCAGGTAAAATAAGTAATTTCGAATATAATTATTTTTAAGACGGATCTATTGCAGTTTGTCATATTTCGCTAATTTTATTCCTCTAATTTAAAATTAAATAATTCCACTAAATGATAAAAACGAAAATATAATAATTGAAAACCATAAAACTAGATTTGACAGAGGATAAAGAAGCAAATTTATTTATAAATATATGCATGTATATTATACTAGAAGGTGTACACTGTTTTGTTAAGAACAGATCTTATTTCAATATAGATGTCGTTTCTGTACACAATGCTAAAAAACTGTAGAAGGCCGCTAGATGGCGCTGTAATATTTTCTTAAAATTCATATTGACATTTCTCTTGTTAGTTTTCCCCCATGGTAATATCAAAAGTTGTTGGCTACACTGACGTACATTTTGAATCAAACTAAGTTTGTCGTTTGTTTTGTATGCTTATAAACTTTAGTATATTTTTTAATTTAGGCTTGTAATTTGTGACTCCAACTCCAAGTGTGATGGAAAGTTTGTTTTTTATTTTTCGAATTTCTTTACAACACCAAATAATACTTACCATGTATGCTTAAAAGTAATGTTATTGCAGTAAATAAGAATTTGGTTTTTGTGGTAGCCAAATACATATAAACACCAGTCTTTTGTCAGAGAATATCTTGTTTTGGCAGGAAAAATTATTACACATAGAATCTATTAATTCATTAAGGTATAATAAACGAAACAATGTCAATTAAAAAAAAAACATGGAGGTATATTTTTATTAATAATCTATATTGAAACTGAAATAATATATCTAACTACTAATACGACGAATTTTATGTGCAAGCCTTTTATTTAAAAAAATCTACACCTACTTGTTGTTGCATGTCGTTAAATTGCAACGTTCTAGAGAAAAGTGAATTCCAAATACTCGGCTGTTCTTTACTGATGATTGTAGTAAAAAAATTGATATCTATTGGCCTTAAGAACGGTGCATTTTATATCATGCAGTAAGCATCTTAAAAAACATCTGCAATTTGTCAAAATCTCTATCAACAACAAGAATATGACAAAAAAACAAAGTTTTGGATAAAAAATAAGTTCATGCTCATATTCGGTTACTACAGATAGCTCTTGATGTTAAATTTCATTGAAATAATTTTCGAAAGTGATACATTTATTTTAGAAATGAAATATTTCTTTAATAAGGCTTTAAGAATGTAAAATTGTACCATGATAACTTGATACATATTAGTTTGATGCTAGAAGTATGACCGATTCACTTCCGTATAATTCTCAATCTAAATTAACGTTCTGTATTATAAAACTTGTCAGACAGTTTTCTCATCTTGAAAACTAAAGGATTCTGTAAAAATGATGTGTAATGCTCACAAATATTTCAGTTTTGAATGTACATTTATGGTATAGTCCAATTTTTTTACAGATTTTAGATAATCTCTGTTGGTTTTTGATGCTACTATTGATAAAGATATATATTATACCTACCAAAAGTACCTCTTTGGGGTGGTTTTTATAGAAATGTCCTTGTTCGTATATTAATGCGCCTCCAAGAAATTACAGAACTTTATGAGAAATTGTATATGATTTAAAAAATGTATGTTTGATTTTTTTAATTTTTTCAATATTTCAACAATTTTTCTCTACATTTTTTTAATTCAAATTTGTTTAACTGTGACTATCATATGCAGGAAAAGGGGAGGGGGGACTTAAGAGGAAGACAAAGTTTCTGTTTAATGATTTTATTACACCAACAATCATATCATATATTCATAAGTTTTAAATAACAAAACTTACTCTTATTCATAAAATTTAAATAAAAAATAATAGAATCCTAAAATAACATGGAAGCATTTTTATGGATTGTAGCGGCTAAAATAAAAAAAATCCCACAAGCATAATATGAAAATATTTTATTTACAGGAAGATTAAAAAAGTACCCATATAACCAATTGCGTATAAAAAAAGAAAATGAAAAATATACACTGTCTCTGTGCTCCGCATTCTATTATCTGGCCCTTTCGGCCCTTGGATATGCCCAGCAATCTCTTACAATTTTTTTACCGCGAATGTAAACTATAAAAAATATATTTCCTTTCAAAATAATGGAATCGTACAAAAAATTGCAAAAGACCTCCGTTCGAAAGCAACGGGAAATTTCTACAATCGCCCCATTTTTGAGCCGGAACAATTTGTCAACATCTCTCGATCCTTACGCGTAATAGAATGCGGGAAAAATATGATATTAAGCATATGATCTAAAGCTAACGTCTCAAATGTTTCTTATAGCCTAAATACGATACAATATAAGTACATCTGTGGAATTTTTGTCTGAGTATTGAGGTAATACAGTATAATTTATGTAATAAACAGTATGTGTTGTACTGGTTCAAGGCATCTTGTTGCTCGAGACGATTTCGCAACCTGAACAACTCCCACATCCCCTGATGACCCTCCCGGTCCTACCGGCACCACCCTAGATTTATTTCCGGAAAGAACCGGGGAGGTACCGCGGGTTGCGAATCGGTTGCCGGCGTGCTTTCGCCATTTTTATTGAGGGAACGGAACATCAAACAAATTCAACCGGGGGCAGTGCAGATTTATTTCTAACCACTTTTAAGTAAAACCAGCCCGCCCTCAGACCGTCCGACCCTTGCAAATGTGAGCCAGCGCCGTTCCAATCCAAGCCCAGAAGTGTTTGATTGATACTGCTATAGAGGAGTTCCCTGAGGTTTGGTTCTAGGCCCAGTCCATCTTCGAAATTGCTATAAGTGACTTGGGTACGAGCAGTAAGGTTTCCGTGCTCAGGTGGCGGGTCGGGGTGGGGGCGGGCTGGTTTTTCCAAGATTTAATTGTACATTATAACACCACATACACTATATTCTAGTTCACGCCAATTTCGATCAGTAACAAAATCTACTGTTAATTTTTTCTCTTGTACAGACCAAATATCCTTTTTTTTTTAGAAAGATAAACTTTAAATATGTATATAATTTTTTTTATAAAATATCTAAATTGCTACCTTTAGGTACAAATTTTAATACTGTTAAATTTCTCATATATATAATTTTCATCATCGCACTATTACAAATAATTTGTTGGCATGAATATAGATATGCAATTCTTTTTTTCTAACAAATAATATTGATTAAAACTTACACCTAGTCACTACATGTATATAACAAAAAATTATGTACAATGGCGGCAGCGACCGGCCCAGTAATCTCGATCGTTCCGATGCTAGATTAGGAGAGAGAAAAACACACATTTCTACCGCCATTTATATTGAAAAGTGAAGGGTTAAAGTTTCTACAAGAGGTGGGAACGGAGGGAGATTACTGAGCTTGCGCTTACCACCATCAACAACCAGACACTTTGATGTCGATGATTATTAAAATTTTCAATGGCACGTTTAAAAAAATATTTTTGAATCTTTTAGAAACTAATTTTTTACTGAAACGTCTTTGGTTGGACCGTATCACAAAAACTAAACAAATAAATAATTTTAACCTAATCAGACAATTTTTTTAGTAGTCACAGCACTAAATATACAGTCAAAATGTATGCTAACGGTTGCCAAAAGGTCAAAACCGTGCCCTCAGATCAAAAGAAATTACTTAAGAACTCCGGACCGACTCGGTTTCCCACGGGCGCCAAAATTAAACCTAAACATCACAGAAAACACAAATTTTGTCAACGAATAACAATAAATAAATCTTACAACTACCAAAAAATAAAATTTTAACAAGAAAAATAAATCACAAAACACCGGGCGCCCTCTTTTTAAAAAATATCCTCAGACGCCCGACACACAGGCGTCCGTGAGAAACCCAACCGGCCCGGATCTAGCATACAAACTAACCAATCTAATTTTACAATTACAATTACATAATAAAACAAATGCATAAAGATTGGCACATGATTATTTACAAAATTGAACCCTGGAGAGATATGTAAATGTGAATTTTCAAAACTTCACAGCGAAACCCGCCTAGCTGTTTTTGTAACCTAGCCAAGTTTAAATCATCGCAACATAAATACATACATAACATCTAAAGTTCATTTTTTCCGTAGGCTCTCTACACCTACAAATAATTCTTTTCAATAAAAAAATCACATGAGCAAATTCTCTCG